CCGGTATTTGGTCAACGACCCCTATGTAAACTGGCTTGAGCGAGCATGGCTGGCGGTGAAGGCACATCGCGAACGAATGGCGCGCAGAGAGCATGCTTTAGCGTGCGTAGGCAGGAGAGAGTGGCTCGAGACAAGCGAGGTTGCGTTCGCATCTGCCAGCAACCCGTCAGGCTCGAGTATGGATGATAGGACGATGAATGAAAAGAAACAGAATTCGAATCGCGTACACGTGGTCGGCGCGCGTGTAGTGGAAAACACCAGATTACCTCGTCAGCGATAAAGCGGAGGCGTATCAGAGTAAGGTTTTTCAAGATACCTTAAGCGAATATGGCGTGAAGCACATTTTTTTGTCCCCCCTATCACGAGCAGAACGATCCGGTAGAGCGAGTGAACAGAGTCCTGAAGACTATGATCGCTATTTTTGTCGATAACGATCACAGAAGTTGGGATAAATACCTTCATGTGTTTAGACACGCAATCAATACCGCGACTCAGTCCTCTACGAAGGTTTCCCAGGCATTTGACAACTTTGGACGTAATCCGCTACCGGCGAAAAATCTAAGACGAGAAGTGGAGAAAAAAATACCCGTGATCAGCATGAGTCCCGAGATTTGGCGAGATCATTTGCAGTGATTAAACGCGTTGCGCGATTTAGTACGTAAGCATATCGAAAGCGCTCAAGAACGACAGAAGAGTGCCTATAATAAGAAGCGCCGGTATGCTACGTTTAGCGAGGGGGATTTCTTTGGTGCTCCATCCGTTATTGAGTGCGGCGGTGGGCCGAAACGCCAGTCTGGAGCCTGAGTTCAGAGGTCCATATAAGTTAGTCAAAAAGATTTCGGACATTGTATACGAGTTGGAGGTAAAAGATAAGCGACAGGTTCCGATGGTGCATGTTAAGGATTTAAAAAGATACGTTCCGTGTCGTTTAGAGTGAAACGTCGATTTATTTTATTTGTTAGTACATGTTTTATTATTTGTTGGATTTCTTCTCTTTCTTTGATGTACATGTGATGTGATTGTCACTAGTGGTGTTTATTTTCCTTTACAGATGGCACAGCGATCAAGAGAATCGATGTCCTCGACACCGGAGGTTGTGACCGGAGATGCAAGTCCAACCGGTTTGGCCGCGAACGGTGGAACGGACACGCTGGAGCACGGAGTGAAGCTGAGCGTGACTGAACCAACGAATTCGCTCCCTCCGATCCTGGGAAATCGTCCCAGTAAGGCATCCTCCGAGTGTAGCTCCATAGAAAGTGCTTCTCGAGGAGACCCCCGGGAGGGGAAGAATTAAGCTTCGGAACCCCCAATTTCGCCAGTATTGACCGCCGTGGTGGACGAGTTTACTACGCTCCGTGTTGTCCACGTTGAACCGGAGCTCTTTACCCCTGGTGGAGTTCCGAATACCGTGGAATGTCTCGCTATAGAAGTAGACAGCGTAGCAGGGGACGTCGAGCTGGAGGAGCTCCTATTACGGAGTCCGTTGGCTCTTTCCACTGGGGCTGTCTCCCAAGCGGGAGAACTTAAGAATACTCCCTTGAAAAAAGTGATAAACCGAAGAACGGCGAAGATTCTGGAGGGAGGATTTATTAATTGGCTCCAAGAAGTGATTGAGGAGGAAGAGGACCCAGGCCCGCGGAAGTGGCTAAGGTTTTGGTCTCAGTGTGACCTGCGGAATACGTTTCCGGCCCATTGGAGTGGAAGCCCTTCCATCTCCAAGCCCTGGATCCACGGTTTTCCTTCCGGTGTCCATCTGCGATATCGAATATCCCGCCAGCAGGGTACTTGGAAGATGAGCGCCAATAATTAGCGGAGGCCTAGAGAGGTACGAGCCGAAGAAGAGGATGCTGTAGAGGTTCGAACTTTTCCATGGAAAGTTCGTTCTCCCCGCTAAACGACGGAAAATTCACTGAAGAATGAAGAACAGCGGCAAAAGAGAGACTAGAGGCGAGTTCTTCCTCGACTCCTTCTGGCTTAGGACAGGAGTGCATTCAACCGCACCCTAGCTCGGCCAGAGAAGTGGAAGGGACGGACAGCCGGCCAAACCCCGTGACCTCCTCAACTGAAGCCGTGTATGGAGAGCTGGTGCTAGTTTCGGCCCTAGGTCGGAGATACTTGAGCGAGATAACTCGGACAGTACTATGACGAGAGTAAGCCTTCTCGTCGGTATTTTCCTTAATTCCCCCTCTCTCTCGGTAAAGCACGGTGATCAGCGTTAGGCGCATTTCAGAATAGGCCTAATACATGGTCTTTGTTTCAGCTGACGGAGATTGCCGAGCGACGCCGAACCGGCCCGAAGCTATTACGCTGACGACAGAGTATAGAGATGTTAGAAAGAGAGAGAGAGAGAGTTAGGGGCGTACATGCTCCACGCAAGATTAGGCAAGCGTGCGTCGCGAACCAATTAGTGCATTGGTCGCGCGCCGCCTAATAAGTAAGTCAAGTGGTGAGAGAAAGAACGAGAAAGAATCTATCGATCGCGGAAGAAAAAAATGAGTGACACAGACGGTAGTGAGTCGAGCAGTCAATCAGAAGGTTTTCCAGTCGATCGGTTACTAAGACGGTAGACGTTCAGCGGTACAAAGTCGAACGTGCAATTGAGGACAAAGAGTCAGCCGAACGCACACGCCGCTAAGGAGCCGAGAAGAACCGAGAGGATAGAGGACGACTGCCTTGTTCCAGGATCTGCTCGGGACGCTACCCGGAGAAGCCGGCAGGAGTTGCCCAGCGACGCTCAGCAACATCGTCGGCAGGGCGCAGCCAGGCCTTCCCGTTCCTGCATTGAAGGTCAAGTCTCGCAAACTAATCTCTCTCTCTCTTCAACGGTATGGTACAGCGCGTAATTGTAAGCGTCAGATAGGTAGCAAGGCGTGCACATGCCGGCTACCCGCCCTAATTACGGTCGGCGTCATAAATTGTTCAAATAGAAAATCGTCGGTTCGATCCTCATTCCTCATATCCTCATTCATGTTAAACCTTTCCGCGCTGCCGTGATGCCTTTAGGACGGACTAAGCGCGCAGGATGCTCGTAGAGGAGGAAAGGGCTCGGGAACGCTCCAGTGATCCGCTAGGACTCCAGACTTCGCGGTCGGAAACCGTGGAGCCGGAGTCAAGGGTCCTTGAGACGAGGCCAGAGATTGCCAGTCCTAAGTCAGCTCTCAAAAGCAAGCCGACTACGGTGGCAGGCAACAATTGGCCGAAGTCGTCAGTTGCCGCAAGATGAGTAGCAGAGTGTTGCCGGAAAAAGAAGTCCGGAAATTCCCGTTTGAGCGGACGCAGGCGGGGGACGTAGGTCGAGATGAAGAAGTGGTGGAGCGAGGGACGGACGAGGGGCGGATTGCTGCGCGCAGAGAATTTGAGCTTGCGTTGCATGCAGGTCGCTAGGTGCGTACTATCGATTAGGCGATGCCTATCCTGAGCATCCTTCCCTATCATACACATGTTCTCTGCATTAATTGTAGAGACGGCTCCCATCCGAGGTCGCGGTGTCCAGAGGTGGCTAATCCGCGAACATTTTGTTGCTACTGTGGACGCTATGATGTGTCTGTGAGCAACTGTGATAGGTGTGTGGTTGCACATCGAGTCTATATCATGACAAGTACAAGTGGCTCGTAGCTCGGTTATTCCGCCCGTACACTTGCCTGGTCTGTCCAACGCTCTCCAACCACGGGCGATATTGGAATCCATGGCGATCACAGAACCAGCGCCCTCAGCTGAGGGAATGACCGAAGCCGACGCAGCATCTGATAGGAAAACGAAGGTGCGCCGGGGAGGAAAGAAGAAGCGTGCACGGATACAGGCCTTCTCATTGAGCAGTTATGGAGCGATGCTTGGCAACAGGGATGAGGAGGTGGCTAGCTGCCGTACCCCTCCTGTATTGGAGTTGATCGATGACTTGGGGGCTGTAACCGGGCGCTGGCCGGAATGTCCAGCCCTGTCTGAGTCACTCTCTATCTCTCCCGCGACTCGCTCCTTCGTTGTGGCCTTGGCGAGTCTAGTGGAAATTAAGAATCATTACCCATGCTCGCAACGCTTTATTTCAGGGTCAATACCTGTGCCGGGTATCGTCATTGGGAGTCAATTGGGAGCGAGAGTGGCTGCGATGAGGAAGAGGGAGAGACATAGATGCGTCGCATGTGACGAGCGAATGAGCGCGAGTGACCCACGACGATCCGCTAGCGAGAGTGAAGCCGCCGGCGTTGCTGGAGCAGGTACCGAGATCTCGAGATGAAAAATCGATCTTGAGGACCGAGAGCACACGCGCTATAAGAATACGAATCGTCGAGCATGGAGAGATAAAGGATCGAGAAGACGCTTAGCAGATTGCGGCCAGGAGAAATTTTTCATTGACGCCCAAGGCATTAGGAATTTCGTTTCTGCCTGCCGTCAACCTGTCTGCAATTCCGGCAACAGTTCTTGCCAGCAGCCTTCGTCAGGTCAGGTCGTCTCTCTTTTACTCTTTCAACCAACCGATCAATCAAACGATATCCCTGGCATGTGTAGCTCGCATGTGAAATCATCGACATCGTCAAGTGAACAAAGAGACCTACGCAAAAATAAAAATAAGGGATAACACTAGTAAATCTTAATTTCGTTTCCTTAAATTTCAATTATTTACCCGACTTAGGCTTGTTTCCTCGTTCTCTTACTGGTGATCAAATCGCACATATGCGTTTTTACTAAGTGGAGCCCCAGAACGCAATCTCGTCAGCAACATTGCTGTGTTCTGATTACGCTACGAATAGCATGTATTTCTATCTATAACGAGCAGATTTTTAATTATTATAGCTGATGAGATATTTGTTTTCATTTCGGGAGGCGATCACTTTCAGCTTATGTCAACAGGGAACATCGCTGCCTCGGCCGAAAACCCCTTAATAATATACGACTCTTATATTCTTAATTTTGGTGTTAAAAAATTGTAGTAGTCTAATAGATGATGAACTTTATTTTGAGTATTTATTTAAATTTTATTTTTTGTAAATAAGTTAATTCACTACCTCATAAAAAGCTTTCGTAATGTTGAGTCCAGCTTCATACTTAATTGCTCCATTGCATAACAGCGGCCTTGGTAGTAGAATTTTAGGATCATCAGAACCTTTTTGATTTCTGAAAACACTATTCAATGCACCACCTAATGCAAAAACTGCATCATATAATAGCGCAGCTTCAATCTAAAACGGAAGAGAATAAAGTTAATATTACGCTCAGAGTAAAATATTTTGAATGCTAATGTTCACATAGATTAACGGCATATATTTTTCTTCAATTTGCATACAGAGACAATCTTTACATTGTTATTGTTATAGTATTATTTCAAGATCTACGTTCATATTAAATGCTACGGAGGCACAATAGATACGTAGTGATCTTAGTTCTCTATAGTCACAAGTTCCAAATTAATGAATATATCAACAATTTTTGCTAAATCTAACGTAATATATTTTCATATACTAGAACTCATACAGTGCGCTCCGCGTATTAAATGTTACTTCATTGTATCATCACTTCAAAAATTATACTATCTGAAAAAGTTACTAGTTGTTCGTAAAAATTCAACTTGAGATACGTACAACATGAATGATTTATGAACGATAAATTATCTTAAAAGTTAAAAAAGCGTATCGTAAATAAAAATCGTAAAGTTCTTAGTCAACATAATTTTTAACACTATTATTTTAACTATATATCTGAAAATATAATTTTAATGAACCTTATGTTCACGTTGCAACTTAACGTTTTAATGTAAAGCTGTCCATGGTTGAAAATATCTTATATGAGATCTATTCCAACAAAATCAAATGTTCGATATTGCGTTTTCTTAATGCTAATTGCAAATTCTAATTTAATTGGAGATATAATCTAATAGAATAAAATATAATAGCATAAAAAATTCTCGTAGTTAGATGTAAAATTATGGCTACATGTAACATTCTTAGAAAAAATATTTGAGTAAATCTATTTATTATAATATCAAATGGATCAACAAATTTCACAATTATCATCCTTTTAACTAAAGACTTTGTAAACAGGCATTAGTAATTTTGTCAACTATATTATATTATATTTCAATTGTTATTGTTACTTCAAGAACTACGTTCACGTGGAACACTGTAAGGTACCTAGACGCATTAGTCATGAATAAGCAGAATCACCTCCTCAACCATTTTTTTAAAAAGTGTAGGAAGATAAAGTTTGACACGCACCATGACTGGACCTACAGTTTAAGGTAGAATCTAAACCACCGAAATCATGGTACAGACATATGAAAATTTCATTTAAAAAATCATGACATGTCCGGGGCTCGAATCTACGACCTTTTGCACAGAAGCCTGGACTCTTACCCAACCCACTGAGCCACCGTGACCCCTATAATTATATAAATAATTATATAAATTATTTCTTTATAGTTTTCAATTTAAATAGCATCAGAATAACAAAATTATATTTACATAGATAAATAATTTTAAGTAATTATGAGAGCCTCTTAATACACAATGTCAATTGTCGAAATAATTCATTTAATTCTGCAAAGTCTAGCCGCATTACGCCAATGAAGGTTTTAAAACGTCCGATCATCATTTCTTGAATAGAGGATAGCAATATTATTTACAAGAATAGAAAATATAAATACTGACAAAATAAAATAATTCTCACAACGAAGAGTTTAAAAATGTTAACATTTTTTAAGCTAAGGTCGTTGAAGATAGGAAGGGATAGATAGGTATTAAAAGATTATATCGTTATATAAAAAATTAAAAAGTTGATAGAACTTTGTAAACGATTTTTTTATGAAATAACTGATAATTTTGAAGAAGATTTCAATTAAAATGAAAATTTTTCAAATGATCTTGTAACAAAACTTAATCCTTTGTTACCAATTCTTTTCCGGGGTAAGTGAGGCGCTTTCGCTCATGACAATTGAGAGGGAAGAATGAGGGGAGGCTGATAAATAAATTATACACAGACAAGAACCAAATCTCACTTACAACCTATTATTATTAATAATCATTCACACTGAACAATCGCGCGCATAACATAATCTAAATTACCGACTAACAAACTAAAAATCGAACAATAAACTGCTTAAGATAATCGCAACTGAACATTTCGCATTTCACTAATACCAAATCGCACACTTAACCTATTACAAACTTACTTAAAACTACGCGGACTAATACCGGGAAATTGCCCGGCACGTGGGCGCCTGGACAATTCACCGGTCGCAACTTATATCACTACAAATTAACCTTAGCGCGAACCTTCAGATAGCCGGCACGTGAGTGCCAGGCTATCTCTTTCACCGCGCACCGGTCGTCGCATCAACAGAGAGAGAGAGTGTAGAGAGAAAGAAGAAAAGGAAGACTTGACCTTTTTTTCTTGTTCCTTGCAACGTCGAGAATCCTGGGCGATGTGCTGCCGCAGGACGTACCGGCCGTCGTCGCTGGTCAGATCGTCGCTACCCGCTGTCGCTGACCAGGTCTCCGTCGGTGGCGTTGACTCTCTTGGCAGGTGGGCTGGCTGTTGTTGCTGGCAAAGCCGTTGCCGGTAGGGTTAATCGTCCTTCCTTCCGGCTATCCCAAACTGCTCTCTCTGCTGGGCTCGGACTTCCGCACTCTAGCAAGACTAGGCTTAGACTCCCTCACTCTCGTAAGGCTCGGCTGCGACTCTCTCACGCACTAATTCTTGCGCGCCTCTTGCAGTCGCTCTGCGGCGCTCGCTCCTCTCCCTACCTTGACCTATTAGTTAGGCGGCACGCGACGCGTCGCTTATCGGTCACGCGTTGCGCGCCTGCCAATCCCTGCATAGGCCTAATACTCTCTTTCTCTCTCTCTCTTTCTCTCACTCTCTCTCCGCGCTCTTCAACTTTTCTTGCGCTCAACTGCGCTGGCTCGTCCTTGGCGCTGAAACAAAAGACCAAGTGTTAGGCGCATACTTAAATGCGCCCAACGTTGGCCACCACGCTTAGCCGAGTGGGGGAGGGAGAAACGCGGACGAGAGACGGGCAAACGGCCTGCTCTCGTCACAATCTATCCGTATGAACTCTATTACCTAGTAGATAAATAAAAGTTGTTTCAGATTACTTGAAACAACAATGTAATGATCTCCTCGAGTCTCGATCCTCTTCACTCATATACTCCCTTTATTTTGAAAGAGTATGAAAGTAAAGGTCATAATACTAGATTCATCAGCTAAAAATAATAAGCTGGCTTAGGGATTGATAGTAATTTTGATGGTGACACCAAATTAATAAGCTTAGCTAAATGTTGCTTGGGTGACTTCATACTCAAAACCACTATGCGACAGATTCCTTGACGGACCTTACACATAACCTGAGCCAGTGGCTCAGAACTATAAACAAAAATAGTATGTAACTACAATGTATTGTAACGGGTGTATGTGTGTCGTTGACTCGAGCGCTCAGTTGCTGGCGCTCGCGGAGCGGTCGGCGGGAGAAGTCATGTTGCGCGCCTTTTGCCGGCGACACAATTAGCTCTGTACACTCTGCTAACGGCGCTCTTTGGATACGGACCTTCCTTGGACAAGTGACTCTTCGTTGGCTAGCTAAGGATGGAGCGACTTTCTCGAATCATTTGGAGAATATTGGAAGTGCGACGATCTTAGTATCAAGGTGTTTTGTCCGGTCCAGAAAGCAGCCCTTCTTTTTTAATCAACGCCGACAATTCTTCACCATGATGACATCGATGCAGTCGTCTGACAAATCTACATTTTGGAATTTTTTAACTGTGAGCTTCAGGATAGAGAATTCTTCTTTGAAATCCACACCGCTGTAGTGCGTTTGAAGAATGCAGCGATATCGGCTTAGTCTTTCATTTAACATGTAAGTGATGATTTGAATCGATGAAATCGATCACATTATTAATTTGATTACCATAGTGAGTGATGGAAAAAGAGAAAACTAATAATAACGAACAATTGAAAGTGTCTAACTAATTAAAATTACAAGATTTTGAAATAATTGTTAAGTTTAAGTCACGTAATACATTTCAACGGCGAATTCAAGAATGTAAATAAGAGCGCGTATGTAAATGACCCGGACAAAGCTGTTTTGAATATTAAGAATTCTGACGAGGCGACAACAATTTAACTTTGACTTTGCGTACTTTTAACTTGTAATTATTATATTTTGAAAACCAATGGAATGTAACAATTTGAATAATACAACGACATTATGAATATAACATGATGTAACTGTAGTCATTTTAAAATATTCCTCTATTCTATCCACTCATATGATATAGTGTGTGCATCTTTGTATTTTCGAGAGTCTAATACTAGATTCGATATAATACAATTATAGTATTAAATTCATACTATAACTAACGGCTTATAGTTCGTTGTCTCTTTTCCTCCATAAAGCCAATAATAAGTATATTTATAATATTGCTATGTATTTATTCGTATAAGATGTGTCCAGTGCAGGCTTCAGCGAGCTGGTGATAATTTCCATTTGAAAAATGAAGAATTACGTATTTTGATTGTTTTTCAAATAAACTTTCGGTTCCATCTTTTCCTTTAAAACCAAAAGGTAGATTTATTAACTTTGGATCTATAAAAGCTTCAGCTTGAGCGAACTTTTTGTTCAGCAAAAACTGAAAATTATTAATATTTATGTTAGCGATAACTCGATTTTTGTTTGGTAAAAAAAGTAATTAGTGATTAACATTCCAACATAATGAAATACCGTAAATAAACGTGAATACTCATTAAATTTAAGGAGTTTTAGGGATTATATAATAACTGTACAGAAAGCAACAAAATTTAAAACAGCAGTAGATTGGAACTTCGCAGTATCCCTGCGTTTTTTTAATATTTATACCCACAATAATCCGAAGAAATTGAAATCGAAAAGTTCGTCTCTTATACGAGAGGTGGTCAATAAGTCTTTTCAAAATCTAAGAGATGGCGCTCGTCACGCTTAAATTATCGTGTTTTTGGCAAGCAATACTACTAACTAGATATCGTACAAAGTTTCAACTCGATTCATTAAGTCATTTTTTTGTGAGCGTTGGTTGAACAAAAAGTTATTGGTTTATTTGAAAAATGGAAAAAACAGAGTTTCGAGCGGTGATAAAACATTTTCATATAAAAGGCCTTACACCAAAAGAAATCACAGTTGAGTTGAACGCCGTTCATGGTAAGTCTGCCTCTG